TGTTTAATGTGATGACATAAATTGGATCAAAAACCTGCAATTTGACTTTCACTTGCAACGACTAAACAAGCTCATTTGGTAATCAAATAAAATTTTTTAGTTGCACAAAAAGCTGTCGACCTTTTCAAGCAAAAAATTTAATTTTAATAAAAAGTGGTTCCAAGTTTGATCCCCACCACATCCCTGATAGTACTGCACTCAACTTGTTTTTTTACGCAGCGGCCTTGTTCTTCAAGGTTCATGTTTCAGAGTTATAGAGTTAAGAGAGGGTTATAACCACAATTAAGTAGCCTCTCCGTCTGTAATGGTCTTCTCGGCCTTGGAGAGGTGAATTAACATTAAAAAAAAAATTACTACTAAGGCAATTTTAAATCAATCAAAAAAGAGTTGGAAAAAATTGACTGTGAAAACTTTCTTGATAGCTCAAACACAAATGAATGCTATGATAAATCACTAAACTTATGCTACAATCTATGTAAAAAAATTTTTCTGAAAAAACGACTCAATTTAAAAACTAAAGAAATACTATGAGTGACCAATAAAGTAAAAAAGTCTCAATTTAAGACATCTCTGTGGAAACAAATTGTAGATTTAAAAGGAAAAAAATCTAACTCATAAAAGAATATTGCTAAGCATGTAGAGGTGTAAAAAAAGCATTTAAAAAAAAAACAAGAAAAAAACTTTAAGTTCAATTTAGCAAATGACAATAAAAATCCAAAAAAAAATTCTTCATATATAAATAGCAAGTTAGAAATATCTACTTCAATACAAGCCCTCAAATCTGACAATGATGAACTAAAAAACAGTAAAAAGACATAGTCTAAACATTAAACAATCAATTTGAGTCTGTCTTTATTAAAAAAAACGACGTTCAAAACCACACTCTGCAAATGAACCAATAAGACAGATGACAACATAAATATCATGGCGAGCAAAGTTGCAGCCTTACTAACTCAATTAATTTAAACTAATGGCAAGGAGCAGATAGGGTTCACCCATTTGTACTAAAAGCTCTTGCCTTTAAACTTGCTATATCACTATCGATCATATTCAATTTCTCATTACATTCATGAGTAGTTCCAACAACATGGCTAAATGCAAACGTAGCACCAATATTTATAAAAAGAGAGAAAAAAATTGTTTGAATATATAAATATTGTATAAAATAATTATATATTTAAATAACTTTTAATGTATTCTACAAAATAGAGTGCTAAATAGAGTAATGTTCTTAAAATAGTAGAGCAATAATGAACTAGGAAAAAATCACTTTTCAAATTTTTAAAAAGATCTTTCTGATGAATCTTTATTGACTAAACATTGTGTAATATAAAATAATTTGATAAGTGATTCTTGTTGTTGTGTTAGGAAGGAGATACAGCTTTGCATGTTGCTGTTCGTGTAAAAAATTATTCAGTAATAAAGATATTGCTTGAAGAAGGTGCGTCTGCTGTAAAAATTAATTTAGTAAGTCAATGTCATTTTTTTATTTTATTTGCTTTTTTATTTTTATTTTCTAAAATTTTAACTTCACTCCTAATTTATTAGTTTTTTTATTTTTTATAAATAAATGGAACAACTGTTTATACATTTCAAGTTTGTATATTTTACAGGCTAGCCAGTTACTTTTCTATTTATTTAATGTCTACTTGTTTTACAGGCTGGGGAGACACCTATCCATATGTCAATTTTAAGTATGTATGTAGCAGGTTTATTATTATTGATTGATGAAACAAAGAAAGTTATGAACAAAGAAGAATTCCATTTGTATTTTAACAGCAAAAACAAGGTTGGAAATTTCAGAATTTTTTTGAATTTTACTTTAAATAGTCTCATAAGTTTAATCATTTTGTTATTTTTATAAATTTTAATTAATGAATTTAATTTTTTAGGTATAAGTTAAATCTACACATTGCACTAATCAGATAAAAAAAATAGTTAGGAAGCAAAAGTCAAATATGTATTATGGTGCCCTTCTTTTCCCTATACTTTGTCCCCAATACTTTGTCCCCTATATTTTGTTTAAGCCAATTGTTAAAGAATATCATTTAAGAATAATTGTTTAAAAATTGAAAAAAAAATTTTAATATAATAAAGTTTATCTTTTAATATATTTTTGTGCCAATAAGATTTCAATAATAAAAACATTTCAAAAGTAGTTATTTAGCTTGTAGTTTTGTTGCTTCATTTGTACAACAATAAAAGTAGTTATTTACCATGTAGTTTTCTTCAATTGTGCAACAAATTAAAAGCTTTTCATTTACTCTTCAGTAAATAATTGAATAAACCCTTTCATGCAAATTTACATCATATTATATAATAATGAGCAACTTATTAAAGCTCATTTGTGAGTGTTGGACACAGAACTTACAGCAGCCATCACACCCAAGTCAATGGCGATAAAGAGTCACAGCACTTTTTTTTATAAGAAAATGTGAACAGTTTGTGAAGCAAAGTGTATTTAATTAACTTATGTAAACTTCAAACTATTTAATGTTAAAAATGATGTTTTACAGTTTTACTTTTAATTGAAAATTGCATTGCAAAATCTTTAACTTTGATTTATAGCATTTATTTACTGTTTTAAAAAATTTTTCGTTTAATAGTGTTAAAAATTATAACCATGTCTTAGTGGCCGAAGTGGTTAGCTCTCTGTCCTTCCGAATTGCATTGCCGTGGTTCAAATTCTTATGCTTGCACATTTAATTTTTTTGTTGATCCTCTTTCATTTTTTTAAAATAGAAAATAAAACATTTTTGGAAGTTCTATAGATATTGTATACATAACATATATAAAGATATTATATACTAGAACAAATGAAATAAAGAGATTTTTTAAAAAAGATTTAAATTTCTAAAAACATCAAAACACCCAAGAAATTTGTTGCACATACACCATGATAGAGAATGTTATCATTGTGCTCAGGTAAAAAGTGAAGTCTGCGCGTTTAACACACGCTTAAGAGACAACTCTCTTTGTTGTAGGAAAAATAATTTTACATTCAAACTTTTATTTTCTTCAAAATTAATTAATTGGGTGAGGGTTCTAACAACCTCAGATTCCTTCTTTCGAATTAAGAAAATTCTTTGGAATTAAAAAGTTGAAAAAACTTAATTTAAATCTAAATAAAGAAAAAAATCTTCAAAAAAAGTCCTCAAAAAAGTCCACCGTTTATTTTATAGAAGTTTTTCATCAGGAAGTCATTGAACATTAATTGTTAAGTAAAAATTTATTAAGTCCTCATCACCGTTTATTTTATAGAAGTTTTTTTATAGAAGTTTTTCATCAGGAAGTCATTGAACATTAATTGTAAAGTCAAAATTTATTAAGTCCTCATCACCGTTTATTTTATAGAAGTTTTTTTATAGGAAGTCATTGAACATTAATTGTTAAGTCAAAAAAAAATGTATATTTTCTATATATAAATGTAATTATTTTTCAACCACTTTCTATAAAATATTGAAATAAGGAACAACTTTAGAAATGGTTAGTTTGGAATAGACTTACCATGCCCATATTTTACAGGTCTAGACAGCTAGTAATACAATAATTCACAATTATTTTCATTAAAAACCACTTAAACATATTAAAAATATTTAAAAACTTTGGTAATTCCAAATACATATTCATCACCAAATGATTAAGAATTTTCTGCAATGAAATTACATTATATGGTTTTTTTACATTTATTATTATTTTTTTTAATACATGTTATGGTATTTATACTAAATAAAGAGGTATATATATAATATGGTATTTAAACTTAAATAGCATTCAATATGTTATTTAAACTTTATTGTATATAAATTTTTAAATGAAATAATAGTAAATTGTTTTTTAGCTAGGGGAAACAGCTCTCCACTACTGTGCTAAAATTCCACCTAAAATTGAAAACCAAGCAATTTACAATGATCTAACAAAGTTATTGTTAGATAATCATGCTGAAGTTATGGTACAGACACTAGAGGTAAAAAGAATGATTGAAAACTTTTTTGTTGCAAAAAAAACGTTTAGATTTTCAAACATGTTTTTTTAACTATACTTTAATAATGTGAAGTTCACAGAGATAATAACAACAAAGAAATAAACCTTTAGAATTAGGAAAAATGAGGTTGGCAATAATTTGCTGACCTTAATCTTTTTGAGGTTGGCATCAGATCGGCAAAATATTTGATACAAAGGTCTGACCATAAAACATAGAAACGAGGTCGGCAATTTTTTGCCTACCTCAAGCACTTCCGAGAGTTCTTGCAAGAAAACCTTTAAATAGTCCATTCTTTTTCTTTTAAAAAAGTTTAAAAAAAAATGACTCAACTAAAATTTTCCTGACTCTAAGTTCTTTTCATAAATAATTTTTTAATTTGAATGTGTTTAATTAAACCTACTGGTTGCAAAATAACTACTGTTATTATATAGTTAATTATTACAATTCCCAATATTTTGTGAAATAAATTTGCTGTAATTTGAATTTTTTCTTCTTAAATATTCTTTTGCTTCTAATACAAAAAATTATGATTTTTTTTTCTGCACTGGTTTTTATTAAACGTAGTTTGTATAAGCTGAACAAAATGCTCTGATAATTTATGCGGAGGTGTACCAACCCCCACATATATTATCACATTGTGTTTATGCTTTTTTTTATGGAAAAATTTAATGTGAAAGTATCTGAGTTATTAAGACAGAGTATAAATAAGAAGTTAACTATTTGCTGTTTTAAACACATTCAGCTATAAGTAAAATTCAAGAACAACTTGGTAACTGTAAAATATTCAATATTGGTCTCACAAATCAGTTTCCATGTCTTGTTCAATGAACACTAAGTATATTAAAAAAAGATAAAAAATAGACATAAAAATATACAACAGTATTGCTATATAATCATGATGGTATCGTTTCTTTCTGATACTATACCAGGCTAGCGTAGATAAATTTAAAATGCATTGTTTCCAGTTTAGGATGTTGAATGCTGAATCTTTTTGACTCATTGCATGGGTTTTGCTAGTGTCTGTTTTTATGACTAATAAACTTATTCTATTATCTCCTAATGAATGTTAAGCTCTAAAACTCAGTTTTATGATTCTGAGACCGGCTGATAGTCAGGTTTCCTGAACTCTGTGGTAGCTGTTAGAGAGGCTGATTCCATCAACAACTAAAAAGTATAAGGGAACTAACAGTGCCATGTTGGCACAGATGGTATCCTTGTTTGTGCTTTTGGTGTGCATTGTTGATGCCAAATTTGGATCTATCATTGGCCTTTGACTGGTAGTAACTTTTCTTCTGTTGAGTCTTATCTCTTGCAAAGTTTACCAGATCTACTTACTCTTTGTGAGATTAATTTGAGTTCAGCTGTCTCATCTTGTGATCTATGTGTTGATGGTTATGTTGCTTTAATTTGTAAAAATTCTAATATTCACATGCTTGGCTTTGGCATTTACATTAGTAAAAACTTATTTTTCAGGTTTAAATCCAAGACTATTCCTTTATGTGCTTTTATTTAGCACCATTTCACTCTATCACTTTTCTCTTTGTTCTATATCACTCAAATTGAAAATGCCCTTTCTCTTTGTCCTTCAGCCAATATTGTTATTTTTGGTGATTTTAATCCTCATCACACTAAATGGCTTGGTTCTAGTGTCATTGACTCTGCAGATGTTAAGGCCCACAACTTTTGCCTTTCTCAATGTCTAACTCAAATAGTCAATTTTTTAACTTGTTTTCCAGACAACCTGAATTATTTATCTTCTTTACTTGACTTATGTCTTGCTTCTGATCCTAGTTAGTGCTCAGATGCTTTAGATGCTTCTGATCATGGTTTGATCTCTCTAAAACTATTACCTCATTCTTCTTCATCATCAATATCCCCTATCATTGTACCTCTTACAACTACCTTAAAACTGACAGGGACTCTTTTCGTGATTTTATTTGTGATAGCCCCTGGGTAGAAATCTTTTGTCTTCCTGATGACAAATGTGCTTCCTACATGACTTCTTGGATTCAGACTGGCATGGAATCTTTTATTCCATCTCGACAATTTAAAGTCAAGCCTCACTCTTTTCCTTGGTTTAACTCACATTGTGCTGCTGCAATTTTCAATTAAAACCATTACTTCCATATTATCAGCAAAACAATTCTCCAGAAAACAGGCGTCTATTTACTATTGCTAGAAACAGTTGTATAGAGGTTTTTCTAATGCTAAAGCCTGCTATTCTAAGGTCATAAATTCTTGTATTTTATACCTAAAATTATGCACTCGTGACTTCCCGAGAATCTTTAACAGTATCAATAATAAGGGCAAATCTGTTATTCCACCTCTCTTGTATGGTTCAGACATTGTCACCTCACCTATAGACAAAGCTTAATTCTTTGCTCAGAACGATTGAGAGATGATATTGCTTAGCAATATTATCTCTCTATTCTTCTAGTTGCGTTCTACCCAATACAGCTGACAAACAGGTTGATCCATTGCTTGACATTCGTATCACTCCACCTCTGTATCTAAAATGATTTTCTGCTTAGACTCTTCTACATCTTATGGTCCAGACAGCATACCTGTTATAGTCTTACAGAAGTGTTCTCCAGAGCTTTTGTCTATACTTTTATAACTACTTAACAAGTGCGTATCAGAGTCTTGTTTTCCAGCCTGCTGGAAAGCGGCATCAGTTATCCCTATTTTCAAAAATTCTGGAGAGTTATCTGATTCGTCTAATTCCTATCATAAGCAGGTTTTTGAGTCTTCAATTAACAAACACTTAATCCCTTATCTTGAATTTAATAATTTGCTTTCTGATCATCAATATGGACTTTGATCTTTTCGTTCTACAGCTGATTTGCTAACAGTAATAACCAATAGGTCTTATTGTGCATTAGATAGAGGTGGAGAGGTTAAGGCTATCACTTTTGACATTTCTAAAGCTTTTGATAAAGTTTGGCATGCTGGTCTTCTTCATTAGTTTTTTTTTCACGGTGTATCTGGTAACATCTTTAAAATTATTAAATCCTTCCTCACCAATCGTAGTGTTAATGTTGTCCTCAATGGACACCACTCTTTTTCATATCCTGTAACTTCAGGGGTTCTTCAAGGTTCTATTCTTGGCCCTATACTCTTTTTAATTTATATTAACAAACCTCCAGATATTCTCACATCTAAGGTGGTATTGTTAGCTGATCATACTACCATTTAATCTTGTCTTAGAAGCTAACACTCTCTAATTGCTAGGGGGCATTTAAACTTGAAAAGGATCCCACTTCTGCTACAGCATGGAGCTCACTGTGGCTGGTGAACTTTCATGTAAAACCCAATTTTTTTCAGCCAATCATTATCACAATATTTTAGATCTTCCTATATTTATGAATGGCACTTAATGAGTTATCTACCCTTTATCTTCTAGGATTAGCTTTTACTTCCTATCTTTCTTAAAAACTATATATCAAGTCCAATGCAAAATTAGCATATGCTAAAGTTGCATCTCTAAATTTTGCTCAACACCTTCTTACTCCAGATTCAATTTTTTATCTCTTTAAATTTCAAATCTTTCCTTGTATGGAATATTGTTGCCATATCTGGGATTGATCTTCCCATGATGCTCTTTCTTGTTTAGACAAGGTGCAAAAACGCATTGTAAACATCACCTGCTCTTGCAGCCAAACTTCAACTATTATCACATTGATGTAATGTTGCTTCTCTTTCTCTTTTTTACAAATACTATAATGGACACTGCTCTAAAAAGCTAGCATCTCTTCTTCCATATACTAAATTCATTCTTGTTTTACTCGTCATTCAATTAAGTCTTATCCTTCTTCTGTGACTATTCCTACGTGCTCTAAAAGCTCTCATTTGTCTAGTTTTTTTCCTTTATATTTCAGTTCTTTAGAATTTGCTTTCTTAATCTTGCATTCCCAACTCCTTTAATTTGCTAAAAAAACTGGAAATACAAAAAACCCCTATAATATATATATATATATATATATATATATATATATATATATATATATATATATATATATATATATATATATATATATATATATATATATATATATATATATATATATATATATATATATATATATATATATATATCAACCTTCGGAATTAGGAAAAATGAGGTTGGCAATAAATTGCCAACCTCAAACTGTTAGAGGTCAGCTTAAGGTGGGCAAAAAAAAACTGATACAAAAGGGTTACCATAAAACATAGAAACAAGGTTGTCAATTTTTCGCTGACCTCAAATGCATTAATGTCGGCAGTTAAGTTGGCATTGCTGAATGCCGACCCTAATTCCAAGGGTTGTATAAATATATATATATATATATATATATATATATATATATATATGTATTTGCATATGCACTGATATATGTGTTTTTGTAATTAAACTGAACAGAATGTGATTCAAATGTTGAATTAGCAGTCTTTAGTACATAAATTTTTTTCAAATATGAATAAAGTTTTGTTCTTTGTCACAATAAAATACATTTTAGTTAAAAAATAAACAAAACATATTATCAGTTAAAAAACAAATTAATATAATGACTATTAAGGTACTTCATTTTGGATCATAGATTTAATCTACGGTTGAATCTATGGGTGTTAATCCATCTTTTCTTGGTGTTCAATTCATCTTTTCATGATGTTCAATCCATCTTTCCATGGTGTTCAATTCATCTTTTCACTTAATAGTAATCTTTTTTTAGACTAATGAAACTCCAATACACTATTGTTGTCAAAATGGCAATGCTGATATACTATGTATGATTTTTGCATCCTTGTCCCCAAAAGAGAGATACAAAGCTGCAAATTTAACTAACAATGTAAGAAGGTTGTGTTTATTTGAAAATATTTTTTTATTTCTATTTTTTAAATTATTAAAATGTTTGTCTGTACTTTCATTGATAAGGATGGATGGCCTGCCCTTTTTGTAGCCAGCAAATATGGTTATCCAAATATTGTTCGTATACTTCTTGAAAATGATGCTCGAGTGGATATGTTTGATGAGGTTATTTTTGTTATCATTTTTTAATTTAAAAAAAAAAACACCTTAAAAAGAATAGAAATTTTTTTTTATTAAATATGAATTTAGAATGGAAAAGGAGCTTTGCATGTTGCTTGTGAAACTGGGCATACTTTATGTGTGGAACTAATAATGGATAAGAAATCATATGTTGATGCAAAAACCAAGGTTTATTTACATACATTTAAAATTTTTAGAATTTTTTATTTGGTCATTTTAAATTTTATTGTTAATAAAGGCCATGCTTTAAAGAATAAAAAAGTTTATGTCCATTTGCAATTGTTTCCCTAATTTTTTTCTAATAATTTAAAATAATTTTTTTATGCATTATTTTTTCTCTTTTTTAAAAAAAATATTGGGAATCAACTGTATGGCAATTCAAAAAGCAATGACAAAAACAATAATATGACATTTCATTTTTAGCCCTCGAAATTAGAATCAGCATTAATCAGTCTAACTGCTGACTTGTGTCTGAAACCTTGTTTCTATGATAAAACCTTTTTGTTAAAGTTTATATTAATTGTCATATGTAGAACATCTCTAGTAGTGTATTGTTTACTAATTGCACATATGTAGAACATCTCTAATAGTGTCCTGTTTCTCTTTAAGAGTTTTGAAATGGCCCATAAATATTGCCACATAAATCTTAGTGCTTTGAACCAGAAAAATTAAGTTTTATTTTGTTAATCTAAAAACTTAAGTTGGATTTAAAAAATAAAAGTTAATTTTTTTTTTTTCATTTGTCTCATAATATTAAAAAGTGTTAATTATTTTTTTAATTGTAGCTTGGAGCAACTTCTGTTGGGCTTGCTGCTGCTAACGGACATAGCCAACTTGTTGAGATGTTAGTAAAAAAATACCACGCTTCTGTAGATGTGCTATCCTTGGTAAGACATAAAAAACAAAGCAATACAAATGTATAAATGTAAATACAAATAATCCTATATTCTTTTTTGAATTTTGGTTTTTGACACGTGAGCATGTCTCATGTTATTTTTTTGCTTTTCTAATATTTATACTTCATCTTTGTTCTAATTTTAGATAAAGCGCTCTGCACTTCACATGGCCTCAGAAAAAGGATATTTGCAATCATGCAAGGCTTTAATCCAGTTAGGTGCTGATCCAATGTGTGTTGATACGGTAAAAATATTTTTCTTTAATGATTTTATTAATGTAACAATAATAAAAAGTTTTTGATCTGTGTTTTTATGAATTATGAATTTTTTTAATATCATTTAAATGATTTTAATGTTCTTTTTTCTACTTTTAAATGTAAAAAAAAAATAATCTCCAGCTTTCTTTTGACTTTTGATGTTTTTTTAAAGAAATTTTTTTTTTTTAGGATTGATAGTTTTATTAGAAAAAATTCTGATAAATAACATATAAAATAACACATAAAATAACACATAAAAGTTCGATTTTCAAATCAAACTTATATAAATTCTTCTCTTTTTTTTTGTGAATCTTTTTTATGGAACAAAATAGTTTAAAAAATTTTTGATTTTTCTCATGAATTATTATGTTTATTAAAAAAACTAAAATAAGTAATTTTTCAATATAAAACATACTTGTATATATTTAATTTACACCCAGTATTCTTATTTTATTATTATATTTTATATTTTAGTATATTTATTTTGTTTTTTTATAGTATAAATCTGAAATTTATGTAAAAAGCTCTATTTTAATACAATTATTTAAATTTTGTTTTTTTATTAATTTAATTGTTTTTTTATTAATTTCATTGTTTTTTTATTAGTTTAATTGTTTTTGTATTTAATTGTTTTTGTAATTAATTGTTTTATTAATTTAATTTTTTTTTTTTTAATTAATTTAATTGTTTTTATTTTGTTTTTTTATAGTATAAATTTGAAATTTATGTAAAAAGCTCTATTTTAATACAATTATTTAAATTTTGTTGAAAATTGCACTACCATTGAGGCTATTAAAAGTATATACAGAATATTATTAATTCTACAATAGTTATAAAGAGGAGTGTTGGTCTTCGAGGATGACTTTAATAAAGCTGTTAGAAAGAAATCATTTGATTTTATCTAGGTTTTTTCCTAATAAACAGTATCAGCAGTCTAACCATATACATATTTTTCTAGTAGAAGTGTTGCCTGAATCTTCATTAAAATTATCAGCAAGGAGCAAAATGTTTAATGTGAACATGTAATCATCAATAAAATCCGAATTTTTATAATTTTGAAATAATTGTCTATATTTCAGGCTTCAGTTTTCAAGAGTAAAGAGCTGGATATCTATTAAACCTTTTTAAAGCTTTACTCCTCTACTTTTAAAGTTACTCCTCTACTTTTAAAGTTACTCCTCTACTTTTAAAGTTACTCCTCTACTTTTAAAGTTACTCCTCTACTTTTAAAGTTACTCCTCTACTTTTAAAGTTACTCCTCTACTTTTAAAGTTACTCCTCTACTTTTAAAGTTACTCCTCTACTTTTAAAGTTACTCCTCTACTTTTAAAGTTACTCCTCTACTTTTAAAGTTACTCCTCTACTTTTAAAGTTACTCCTCTACTTTTAAAGTTACTCCTCTACTTTTAAAGTTACTCCTCTACTTTTAAAGTTACTCCTCTACTTTTAAAGTTACTCCTCTACTTTTAAAGTTACTCCTCTACTTTTAAAGGGTAATTTTAGGTATTAAGCCATTTTTGTCTATTAAGTGACTTTTTTGAATCTCAAGTTTAAAGTTTAACAGCTGATCTGGAGCAAACTTCTGCTAAGAAGATTTTTTTTGATAATAAAATTATTTTCCTAGATAAATGAAAGAATGCCGGGAAAGCCCCAATATTTAAAAACATTTTTGTTTGGCAAACAATGCCAAAAAAAAATAATTTTTATAATTACATTTAAAATACACAGTTTGTATTTAAACACAATTAATATGTTTCACTACATTTATAAACTATGTTTTTTTTACATTTATATATTGAGACTATAGCTTGGCGGATTAACTCGCTGCATGAGTTTTTAAAATTTTTAACTTCATCACAAAAAATGTATATACTATGAGTTGTTGTCATTACTCATCTATATACAATTTTAGGAGTGTCCATTACATATGTCATGGCTCTTTTATGCACAGCTTTAAGAATCTTGATTATTAAATCTAAATACATATATATTTTTTATACTATTAGATGTATATACATGTGTATATATTTTAACTAGTTTACTACAAGTGTATTAAATTTATGTGCAATCTTTTCTGCATAAATTCTCCTTCAAATAATCTTCTTAAATATTTAACTTAGATTTTAATTTTTTAAAATCAAAATGCACTTTGTAAAAATTACTTTGCAGCTAATCAAAATATTTCTTATAGAGTTAAGCTATACAAATAAATGTTTTTTGATATTTTTGCATAGAATCATGCTGCCCCAATACACCTTGCTTCAGAAAATAATTTTCCTGATATTGTCAAGATGTTCTTAGAAATAAATCCTGATCTAGCAAGTTTAATTAACAAGGTAATGTTTTTTGTTTTTTTTTAATCAATTTTTATTTTGTGTTTATAGTTTTATATTTCTTTTTTAAATTGTATAAATTTATTTACCAAGCTGAAATACTGTTAATATCTTGTATTTTTTATATTATTTATTTATGTATGAAGACATTTTTTTGTTTACTTAAGATTTACATTCTAACTATAAATACTTACTACTATAAATAAATATATATATATATATATATATATATATATATATATATATATATATATATATATATTATATATATATATATATATATATATATATATATATATATATATAATAAATATATATATAATAAATATATATATAATAATAAATATATATATATATATATATATATATATATATATGTATATAGTTATATATATATATATATACATATATATATATAGTTATATATCTTATACTGCTGAGTTAGGTGAGCATGATGATGTCATACTCACCTAACGTCAAATAGCCTGCTGCCGGGGGCTTCAGTACATACATCGACTGACAAATAGCCTGACTCGCAGTGGAGTGCTGCTACATCGACTGAGGGTTTGGTATGGGTCAGCAATCTTTTTATTCATTATTCTTCGTTTTCCCTCATCTTTTTCTAAAAATGCTCACTTAATTTAGGCTAGCAAAAAAAGTGAGCAATTGCGCATATAAATATGCTATAGTAGATATATATATATATATATATATATATATATATATATATATATATATATATATATATATATATATATATATATATATACATATATATATCACACTTGAACAGGAGTGGCTTGCGCTATTGCTGACCACGCAACTGATTTTATTTTTTTGAAAACTATGACTGTTTAGATGTTTAGATGATTTTTAAGCATTTAGAAATGTGCTGAAAAAAGAGATGCTCGCTAAACTTTTTTTTTTTTTAAACATCTTCGCTTCCAACAACCACTAATTAGTGTTGGAAGTTACTGGAAACAACCACTAATTAGTGTTGGAAGTTACTGGAAAATAAAAGATGAAGATTGTAGAGCAAGATAATGATTGACAGACGACTTAGAAGATTGCAAATTTTATGAATCAGGAAAGCAAGATGAAGGAAGTGAATTCCAAAGAACTGATGTTCGAGGAAAAAACTAGACGAATAAGTGTTTTTGGAGCACTTAGGAACAGTAACAGAAAAAGGATGAGACTTAATTGAATGACGAGTAACACGAAAATGAATTTTAGTAGGTGGCACAAGAGACGCTAGCTCTTTAGAGCAGTGCCCATTATAGTATTTGTAGAAAAGAGAAAGAGAAGCAACATTATGACGATGTGACAGAGGTTGAAGGTTGGCTGCAAGAGCAGGTCCAACTATGTTTACAATGCGTTTTTGCACCTTGTCTAAAAGAGAAAGGGCATTATTAGAAGATCCGCCCTAGATATGGCAACAGTATTCCATACAAACTTAAACTAGGAGGAAAATTAAAAAAATAATGTAAAAAGAAAATAATTCTTTACAAACAAGAAAATATACAAGCACTAAAATAAAGTTCAAAAAACTTGAACTCAAAGCGATAATTACTTTTTGTTATGTTTTTAATTGTGTTTAAAATAAATTACTTAAAAATTTATCTTTTGAAACATTTTATTAAAGTTATGCAAATTGCTTTACAAATTACTTCTAAGGATTGTTAAATGAAGGAACAAATTTTATTTAAATTACTAAAAAGTGTTATATACTTATTTTGAAATTGTATTAACATTTATTTTTTCCCAAAAAGTTGCAAAAAAAAATTGTGAAAAAAAACTGTAATCTATTTAAAATAGTAATCATTTAATCATTTCATGCTCTGATTAGTTAGTCAAGAAAAAAAAAAGTTTGAAACAATTCTTTGTAAAAATAGAAACAAAATAAAGTAAATAAATCATTCCATTGCAACAGAAGATTTAATTTAACTTATTCATAATTTAATGTAACTTAAAAAAAGATTTTTCAAAAGATTTTTAGAAAAACATGGAAAAATAGTTTCAGGCAGGTTATTACATTTGAATTTATTATAAAAAAAGCATGCCTAAATAAAAAAAATTTAAATATAACATTATTTGTTAATTTACACAAAATATGTTTATTTTGAACAATCACTATAATTAATTTTTTAATGTTAAATTGTTAAAAAGTCAAAATCGCAGCACAGTGACTCAGGACAATCAAAAAACGGCAAAAATTAAATAAAATTTAACAAATTCGTAAATAAATAATGTTATATATTAAAATAATAATTTTTGAGTCAAAGATTTCAAATTTGTTTATAAATATTTTTTTTACGTGCAGCTGTGACGCATAAAGTGCACGCTTACGCGTGTTTAAGGTGAATATATGCGTACAAAAATATTTTCTTTTAGTTTTTAGAATCTTCAAGACAAACACATAAATTTGATATATTGCTTTGATTGTGCATTTGATCCATCATTGTGTTTAACCTTGATATTTTTGCCGTGTGCTTAAGTCTAGAATTTTTTATCTGTTTATTTAAACTCTCTAATGCATCTTCCAAATATACCCCAATTGGCAATGGTAATTTGTTTGATTTAGAAGAACTATGCAGTAGCAGTTTATGTACAGTAGGAGGCATAACAAACCAGTTGTATAAACTCACTATACGTTTAGCTTTTTAGTGCAGTGTAAATCTAATTCATTGATATTAATAGGATATCCACAAGATATGGTTATGAGAATATTATGCAATCTTTTAATTATATCACAATCAAATTTAGTAATTTCAGAAAAAACTTCACTATTTTTAAATGCTCTTCTGGCAGTGCTGTCGTCATTTGTATTTCCAGACCCAGTTTTAGGCATATCAACGTATAGGCTTAACCATTCTCTGAAGAGTACCTGAATCTCTTTTTTTTTAAGTCAACAGATAATTTTTCTTTAATTGTTTTTGGCTTATACTTTTTAATTTCAATTTTATAACTCAAATATAGAATAAATTCCAAGCATTTTATCCAGCAATGCGAAGCTGAAATTCTCAGCCCCAAGGCTGAGTCATTCTCAGTTTTTACTATTAATAAATCAATATTGTTCATTTTCTTGGGTTTAGCATTGCACACATTGCAGGATTGAGTGGATTTTGTCTCTGTAAGTGTGTTAACTACTTTGTTATCAAACATTGTAAGATCAATCCTATAGCTGATATTAAATGTCAAAATTCTTCCTGCAAAATTGAAAACTTTGCAAAAGGTATTTATTTGATTTTTTAGATCTGATTCTTCTTCTCTGGATAAAATTGGACTCTCATTTTTATATTGTAGATAAAGAGGTCTACAAAAGTGACAGCTTGAAGGATTTCATTTCATCCAAATTTTGTCATCTTCTACTTTGAGCAATGAAGGCACAAAAGCTGTACTGAAAGGATTTTCTTCATGCTTAAGTTCTATACTTGCGTTGCTTGTATCATATTTTTGTTTATAAATACTTTGGCTTGATGCTCCATCAAAACCAATCTTTCCATATAAAACTCCAAATATATTGTCACTTTAAGCAAAATTAGGCATATCAAACATTTCTGTTATTCTGCTCACAGTGTGATCTAACATGCTTTGAAAAGTACACTTTGCACTAATTTTAGAAAAATGTATATTCTCAGGATAGCATTTCAATTTTTCCATGAATATAATGTGCAAGGTAGGATAAATATGTACATTGTGTACAAGAGCTGAGTTTCTGATCATTTGATATTGTTTATCGCTGAGATCAATATTCATTTTTAATGCAAGAGCTTCCTTTACACTCATATTAATGGGAAAGTTTTTATCCAAAGTTTTGTCAACTTTTTCTAATCTCTAAAACTTAAGATATATTGTTTTTTAAAATAGAGGCTTTTTTTTTTCTCCAGCAGCATTTGCACTTTTTGCAGAAGATAAAAATAGAGCTTCATGATGTTCAGTAGCTAGTTCTTTTATTTTTTTTCTTTTGCTTCGCTTTCCAAGAACACTCCATTGTTTATGATGCCTTTCAGAGCCAAAATGGCTATTTTTATTGTTCATAAGATTTCTTTGAAGCTAACGATTTTCTTTTTGTATAAATGTATCATAGTTTTGTCCACATTGTTTTAGTTTTTTCTTCACCTTTGAAATAAATATAACTAAAGCAGGTTTTACTTTATTTACGTTTTCTTTACGAATTTCTTCAGTATTTTTTATTTCATTAAGTAAATCCTTCCATAATTTTAATAAACTCCTAATTCACGTATATTTGGGATAAGATCTAATCTTTTTATTGTTATTGTTTTTAAGAATTAAGAGTCGAAGTCGCTAAACAAAATCGCGAATCCGACTCTAATATTAAAACTTCTCAGAATTGCACGTGCATTACAAAACATTCAATTAACCTTATGTTCATACTAAACCTCAAAGAACATTTCATAAATTTGTCAAAAAAAATTTATTAACTTATTGTGTAATATTTTTCAAAGAATTCAAAGAATTTTACAAATATTTATCTTTGGAGTTGTAGTCAGAGTTGAAGTCGGAGTCGGAGTTGTATCAAAAAATTTCAACAACTGGAGTCGGAGTCGGAGTTGCACTCAAAAAATTTCAATAACTGGAGTCGAAGTCGTTACTTTTTTTTTACAACTCTATTCCCCTGAATAAAATTAATATATCAAAAACATTTTAAATTACATTACATATTTTTTTACTTTACACTGTTTCAAATTTTATTTTATTATGACTTAAATATATAATGACTTATAATAAATAGTATATAACGACAAAAGCACGTTTTTTAAAACTATATTTAATATTTACAATTTAAAAACTATATTAGAACAAGTTCTAGAAGCAAAAAAATTAAATTTAAGTTTCCCGCTAATTACATTTGTTTTTATATAATTAAAGTTCTTAGCAAAATGGCAGAAAACAAGGTTTTTATGAAATCATCAACATTTGTTTTTCTTTAATAACTTCCAATACCACAGGAGACCGCAGTAATCCTTTTATATTCCTAAAGA